TTAAAGGACAACCTTGAAACTTGTAGAAAATAGACTGAAACTGTTTTTCTTCTACTTCAACAAAAAGTACACAAAATAGAAGCTCAACACAATATTCAAGTGCTTTTAGTGTTTGAATAACTCACTCAGTTTCTCTTCAGGTTGTTTCTTGACATTCAGCTGTTTGATTGCTGTGTTTTGTGCCACATCTCTGTTATTTCCACTGACTTCAGATCTTGGCATGTCAGGATGATGTGTACTCTTCTGTTTTAAAAACAATGAAGGATATTTTAATATTTATTGTGAATAACTGGACTGTATTGGGTAAAAGCTTACATTTGGAATTTGTTTTGTATGTCATGCTGAACCATAGTATTTGCCACATTTCTAGCTTAATGACGGTGCTTGTATAGAGTAATCTCAGATCAGTGACATATTCAAAACATCCAGCAATGCAAAGTACAGTAAAACATTAAAATAAAAATAATTTGTCTTGCCTCAGGAGGGATGTTAACAATACCCTTTACTTCTTTCATCTGTAATGCATGTTTTCCAGGTGTTGGAATTGCACTTGTTACTCTGTCTGAAAAAAGAGGAAGAGTTATTTTCATACACAAACAAGGTCTTTGTTATCCAAACATACCAATAGGAAATATATTGGAAATGTCACCTATGATACCATTGCTGCCAGTATGGTTAGAGGCAACAGCAGGCACAGTCTCTTCCTCATCATTATCACTTTCTTCATCCTCATCTTCCTCAGTGCTAGGCTCATCATCACCAACAACATCTTCATCCATGTGCTCATCTTCTTGTTCTTCATCTTCATCTATATCTTTAACACGATCTTCCTTGTGTTCTTGTACAAAAGGGATATAAATGTTTAAAATATTACCGTGTACACTAAGATTTTCATAACTAGTTCTGAGCTAATGCATACTCCTTTTTCTGAACTTCCTTGGTATATTTTTTAAAGGTTTTAAAACAACTGATTAAAAATAATACTACAATGTTTGCATGCTTTTGATTAATATTTTCCAAAGTTCTCTGGTTTTGGGGTATGATAGAAGGAACAGCAGACAATAGAAAGAGAGAAAAGAAAATAGATTGAAACTGGATTTCTACTACTTCTACAAAAAATGCACAAAATAGAATTTCAACATTCAAGTGCTTTTAGTGTTTGAACAACTCACTCAGTTCCTCTTGGGGTTCTTTCTTAACATTCAGCTGTTTGATTGCTGTGTTTGTTGCCA